AATGAAAACTGGAGGGTAAAAGTTCAACAGGAATGGAGTATATCCCTGCAAAGGCTTTTTAACAGCAAAAAAAAATTGCAGTTGCCTGGTGAGGGAGCTTGGCCACACCACCCAAACCAAGACACCAAAGACAACAGCTCTGAGGGATGCACGAAGGGTGGTGCATGCCCCCAACGTGATCCTCTGTGAGAGACACACAGCACCTCTGTGGTAATCTTGCCAGCAGTGCATAACCTGAGAGTAACAATGAGGAAACAGAAAACAGAACTTGAGCAGCAACGTTCTACAAAATAACTGGCCTGTCCTCCGAAAATGCCAAATTCATGTAACACGAAGGAAGGCTGAGGAATTCTTCCAGACTGAAGAGGGCTAAAGGGACATGGCAACTAAATGTAGTGGGTGACCTGGAACAAGAGGGAAAATGGACATAATGTAGACTTGATGGAGACAGTGGATGAAACTTGAATATGGCCTGTGGCATAGGCACAGTGTTACATCAATGTCACATTTTCTGATTTTGATAGCTGTATTGTGATTTTGTGAAAGAACACCCTTGTCTTTATGATACATATGGAAATACTTAGGGGTAAAATGGGGCATGATGTCTTCAACTTATTCTCAACTTATTCTTCAACTTATTCTCAAGTGACTCAGAAAAAAAACAATATAAAGTACACACACATATGGAGAGAGAGAATTATGAAACAAATGGGCAAAATATGAATAGCTGGTGAGTCTGCATAAAGGATATACATGGAAATTGCTTTCAACTTTCCTGTAAGTTTGAAATTACATTAAAATAAAATTCACATGAATAACAATGGCCAACAATTACACGGCACTCACTCTGTGTGGGCTGTTCAAATACTAAGTGATACTTACACGGTCCTACAAAGTATATGGCATTGTCATGCTCGCTTCACAGATGGGGAGATGGAGGCACAGAGCAGTTAAGCAACTTGCCTAAGCCCTTCAACCTGGTAAGATGGCAGAGCTTGGATCTGACCCCAGTCAGTGTGCATGACTCTGGAGTCTGCATCCTTAGCCAGTGTGCACAGCCCCCTCCCCAGCTATGCAGAGGCTGAAAACAGAGCCCAAGGACAGGGACACCAGAAATGAGGTGCACTCGTTCACACGCAAAGCCATGGACCAGCTGCCAGCAGAGTGGCTGTGAGGACGGAAGGGGCGCCTGCTGATAAGCAGTGGGGGTACCCAGCCTGGCAGGGTGGCCACCCTCCAGCCCTGTGCCCAAAGGAGGGGGGCCCGCCCTGCCACCCCAGGAGGTCTCATGGGCAGAGACAGAGCCTCAAAGCTATTGAGTGTCAGGGGACCTCGGGCATCCAGCAGGGTGTGGGGTGGAGGGGCAAGATGCTGCTGCCTAAATGCAGAGGTGGAGGGACCCCGCTGTCCCTTCCCTGCTGGAGGGCCTGTCACAAGGCGGCGTGGCTCACACCTGCTTATCAGGCCGGGTGTGGAGAGGGTGTTGCAGATGGAAGATAGGGCTGGGACAGGGCTGTCCACACGGCGCCCTGCAGAGGCCGCAGCCAGCCCCAGCGAGCCCCCACGGGCCACCAGGCAGTGCCCTGGCCAGGAGCCCTGCCACCAAACAGGGGAGCCCCCTGCTGCCCAGCCCAACCCTCCCTTCACCCACAGGCAGCCCAAGGCAGGGAGGTGCCCCTCCCCAAAAACACCCTGTAAGCACACAGGAGGGCCTGAGTACACAGGGTCCTAGCCTCCACCCACAGACCACAGGCAAGGGCCAAGGGCCACGGTGAGGGGAGCAAGGAGCACAGTCTGTTCAAGCTTCATCGGCCTGGAGGGTGAGGTGGGGCACAAACTCACCTTACTGTCCTGGGCCCCACTGACCTCGTATGAGATCAAGGTCGCCACTTGCGTCTGGGTGGCCGTGGATGGCGAGGGGCTAAGTTCCCTTTTGGGGGAGGGACAGAGCTGTGAGAGGTGGGAGGCAGCATAAAGCACATAATCAGGGGGGTGGGGGCCAACAGGAGCATTAGGGCCATGGTGGGTGGTGGAAAGAAATGGAAACATATGTCCTGCCTGGTGGCCCAAGAAGGAGGAGCTAAGGAAGCCACTGCCTGTCACTGTCCATCCCCAGGCCCACAGCCTTGGGGGTTGTTTGGTGGAAAGGACCCTGACATTACCAGAGGGTAGTTGTCTTGTGACCCTGGAGGAACTGGGGCAGGGGGGGGGGGCGGAGGGAGAGGGAGAGAACAGAAATGATTCCAATATCCCAGTGGGTGGGGGAAGGTGGGATTCCACACCTGCACACAGCAGGAAAACCTGATTTTAGCTCTGCTTCCCCCAGGAACAAGCACTCAAAAGCCCCTGCTCAGCATGGTCTGACTGCTGCCTCAGACCAAGGACAGCCCCTGCAGAGCTGACGGAGGGTGCCTGGGGCCCAACCCTGCAGGAAACAATGCTCAGCATCCCAGGTGCCATCCAAGACAAGGTCCCTGTCCAGGCTGCTCAGGCACGCCCGCCAGCAGGCACAGAGCCAGAACCCTGGCGGAGACATACAGAGCATGCGCCTGCAGGTCCCTCTGAAATACCTCCCCACAGCCATTGTCACTCTGTCTTCAACTGGTCTGACAGGTCCCTGCAAGGGGGATGGCCCACCAGCCAGGCCCTGGGCCCCACCTTTCCTGGCCCCTCACAGTGAAAATGAGCACATGGAACTCGGGCAGGAGGAGCCCAACCTTCTGGACTTAACTCCAAAACACTATTTGAGCTGTGCTATTTACAGAACCCTCTAGAGGGTCCAGAAAGGAGGCATCTCCTCCGTTAGCCTGCCTCCAGGAGGTGAGCAAGGTCTTGCAGGACTGAGGAGTAAATGCATGAATGGCTGAATTACAAGACAAATTAAAATAGATGTAACAACCTTGGAAAGTGATGGGCAAACAGGAGATTGGGGGCCAGAACACCCTCATAAATCATAAAGTCCTGAAGTTTGTTTCTGTGTTGGTGAAATGAGATAAAGCACAGCTACTGAAAGGTGGGTGAATGTGTTCTGATATGAACACACTTTGCTGACCCCACAGCCCTGATGTGGCCAAAAGGCTGATGGCATCACACAACTGTCTCAGGCCTGGGGACACACAGAAGCTTCCTGGTCGAAAGTGGACCACCATGCAGAGGTGGGGCTCCTCCTGTCATCTCAAGATGGGACGGCTTTCATCAGCCAATCTCAGTTCCGGCTGCTACAACAGACTGGGGGCTTACAAACAGCAGACATTTCTCCCAATTCTGGAGGCTGAGAAGTCCAAGATCAAGGTCCTGGCAGATCTGGTGTCTGGAGAGGGCCTGCTCTGGCTCAGCCGCTTTTCCGCAGTGTCCTCAGTGACAGAAGGGGCCAGGAGCTCCCTGGGGGGCCTTTTTACAAGGCAATAATCCCATTTGTGAAGGTGGAGCTAAGGCCTCCCAAAAGCCCACCTCTGAATACCATCTCATTGAGAATCTCAGCATGAGCTGGGGGGACACAAACACTGTGTACAGTAGTCACTGAAGACCATTCCCCAGAACTCACCGTACCTGGCCACCATTTATTAAGGGTTTGCCAAGCTGCATTTGTCCTTCAGTCCTCAAAACAATCCTGCTGGTCTTCAACCCATCCCCAGATGAGGAGCCGGACTCGGGAGCATGAAGTCAGTTGCCAAAGGCTGCCCAGCTGGGAGGTAGGAAGATGGTATGGGGCCCCAAGTGTGCCTCCCTACTGACCACAGTTGTCTGGGGCACAGCCCAGCTGTGCTGTACCCAGAGACCCAGCACTGCTCTTGCTACCCACAGCAGGGTGTGGTGACCTATTCCACATTGTGCCATTAATTTAACGCTGTTTTCTTTTAAAGGAAATAGAAGAGAATTGAACTTAGAAAATTTCAAAGCACATTAGTATCACAGGAAACTCACTGGGGGACTGTGTGAAGCAGATTGCTGTGTAAAATGAATTTTTTACCCCAGGGATCTCCCTTGCTGTCTCGTCCAGCGATTTTAACAGACACGTTGAAGGCTTGTTAATCCAGTCTGCACTCTCAAAGCTGGGAGGCATAGCTAACATGTCAGATGGTCAAACTAGGATCATCGAGAATGCAAACTAGCTGAGAATGGGTAGAAACTGTAATAAAATGAAATCTGAGCCGTTGCACATAATCCCACATTCATGCTCCAAAGACACATCATGGGAAATTATGTAAGCACATTATGGGAAAGCGATTTGACAGCACATCATGTGAGACAGACCTGGAGTTCACTGGAACAAGCTCCTTGTGAGCCAATGGTGAGGAAAGCAGACTGCCCCTAACAAGGAGGTCAGTGCCCCCTCCCACCCCCAGCTCAGCACTATTACTGCATCCTGTGGCGGCCACACCACGAGGAAACGTAAAATCATGGGGGCAAAGGGTCTGCAATCCGTGAATGCCCGGGTGTGACCTGAGAAGCCTGATGTCCTATGTCTACAGGACTCTCAGGTGAAGAGTGCCAGCTAGTTCTGTATAGCATGGAATGGCCATCAGCACCTGTCACTGATGGCTCACAGTTACAGGAAAGGTTTCAGATCATGAAACTACCATCAATAAAATTGGGTACTTGGGGGCCCAAAGGGAAGGGAGAAGTTCTCCCAAGACATTCCCAAGTTCAAAGATCATCATCAACTTGCCAGCACACTCCTGTCTAGGAATGTGCACTGGGGGAGGCTGAGGACAAGGTAGGGTTTGGTCTGGTTCTAAATCCTTGTGGCTCATCAGAATCCCCAGGGTTGCTTCTTAAAAAATACAGATTCCAGCCTCTCATCAGATCACTTGAATCAGAATCATCAAAGGTGAGGTTGGAGAATCCATATTTTTTAAGCTTCCCAGGCAGATTGCTCTAGTTTGAGAATAGACATAACAAAGTACAATGTATGAAGCTTGACTGAAACTGGATTTGGAAGTATAAAAGACATTTTGGGAATACCTAGGCAAATTTTAGTAGATTTGTTTACTAGATGGTTATTATTAGATGATCAGATGTTTATTAGATATTGAACCTTGATAATTTTCTTAGATGTGATAACAGTATTTTGGAAATATAGAACATCTTCATTCTTAGTGCCACAGGCTAAAGTATTAAAAAGTGAAGTGCCATATCTACAACTTACTTCTGGAGGTAGTGTGCACTCAGGGAAAGACCAGCCCCTTGGCCATTCCAGCAAGTTCAGGAGAGCAGCTCACCCCCACCACAAACCCACTGCCCCCAGTTATAGAAGGCCTGCATCAAAGTCCAGTTCATCCTGTGAGGCCTTCCAACAGCCCTTCTGGTCCGCAGCTGGGGCAGGACTAGAAAAGGCAGCACTGGATCCCTGATAAATAATTTCCATCAAGAATGCCATCCAGGAAAGCAGGCTGGACGGAGAGGCTGGGAGTGGAGGCAGACAGGAGCCAGACCCAGGGAGGGTCTGACTGGGTGAAGACTTGCTCAGGGTGGGTCATCAGGTGCCTCTTTGATTGGAGGGACCCCCTGATGCTGGGGAGAGGTCCACAGATCTGGTTCATCAGAGTCATTTCAAATAGTCCACATTCCCACCAGAGAGGTAGAAGTGATTTGACTCAGAGGAAAATTTTAAGCTCTACCCAATATTTACGTTTTAAGGTTTGTTTTGGAAGGATTTTTATGGAATTGTTGAGACAACAATTTAGCGTCACTGTTGTACACCACCAAAACTTCTACGTGTAAAAACGAAGAGTGGCCCCAGGGAAATGTACAATATCAGGTTCCACGAAGGCTGGGCAGATACACTAAAGACATTGTACATTTGGAGACACAGTAATAAAAGGCCTTCTCATACCACGCATCCTGAGGGACACAAAAACAGTGCCACCTTGTGGACACAGCCCTCCTGCCTACCTGACACAAGTCTACCGGTGTTATAGTTTCCTTACTAATTTGTTTCCACATTAAATCAAATACTGATCAAAATATGTTAGCTCTTCCACCTTTTGGAGTGAAATTTAGTCTTAAATTTAGGATTCCATCATTTCTTTAAAGCAAAGCCACTAAAATATATTAGCCTGAAGAGGGCACGCCTGCTCTGTCACAATGACATTGCACGACTCCCAGGGTAACTTCACGCTGGCTTTCTCTCTAGGATTCCTCACTGCTCCCTAGCCTCGAATTCTTCTAGTTTCTTCTAGAGCAACTCATGAAGTAGTCATCTGGTTCAATCCCTGCATTTTTCAAATTTTCCATGACCTTTTCCAGTCTGAACACTGATCAGTCCCCCTCGGTCTTGTGCTGACGTACAGCGTGAACTCCTAGAAGCCCAGGAGCTTACAGGGTCCACAGAGCAGATATTCCTGATGCCACTGACTCCATGCAAATGAAGAAAAATGCCAGTTCCAGCAACTTCTCCATGCCCTGAAGTCTCACCTGCGATTCATATGACTGATGCTGGAAGCTGATGGCTTCACTGGGCACCACGAAGACCCCTAGTGTCAGCAGTTCAGTGGACACTGGGCTTCTGCGAGCTAGGAGGATCACCTTATAAAGTGGGAGGGGACTGCCACGCTGTCCTTGCCAATCACCTGGAAGCAAAGCAGGCATGTTAGCAATGCCAATTTGGGCTAGTAGTGCCTAGACTTTCCCTGAAAACACTCTAGATGCACTTCTGAAAATGCACTTACAAACTAACCCCATCCCATCCCAAACAAACTTAAATTCAACTGCAAAGGCAATAAACCAAAAGACAAAGACAAGCATCAGAACAGGTAGATTCTGATTACACACTTTAAGATGACACCTCCCCAAGGAACAGGGGTCATATGTTGTGCTCGGTTTGCAGGACAAAGGACAAAAGAATGCCATGAGTGAGTCCTGGGTTTTTAATGGAAAAGAAAAGCTGTCATTTCCTTTTCATCTCATAATCAGAACTTCTGGTGCTCTAAACATTCAAAGGTCAGAACTATCAGCCGGGGAACTCCCAGCTCTAGAAGTAAAAACATGGCCTTAGTTTATCAAATTCACTAGGGAGCTAAACAGCCTTCAGAGAAGCAGCCAGACATCCCACATCGGCATTACTATCTCTGGTATCACCTAGAGTGTGGCTCATTTTCTAAATTAAATTAAATTAATCTAAGTACTGTTTGCTCAGAGTTTGGCACACTCCAGGGCCTCCTATCAGACACAGAACTCATGAAGGTATCATCAAATCGAATACACTGGGAAAGAATACACACAACAAACACCAGAGCCTGGTGGGGCCTGGAAACACCAGGGCTGTCCTGTGTGGGTGAGCTGTGATAACAGAGTAACACACATTTCAAATTTTCAAATTCCCTTCCCATTGGCTTAAAAGCCCTATCTGTTTTCTGAAAAAGAAAAACTGAACACCTGCCTCCTCCATGGTCCCCAGTAAAGTGACACAATGCAAGGACAACACACTAGTGGCACCTGCCCCCAACCCCTGCCCCTCACCACCCCCAGGTCCTTCTTTGGCCAGCAGACCTTCCGTCCTGATCAAACTGTCTGCCAGGCCCCACGAGGCAGACGGAGGAGACCACACTAAATTCTCTTCAGCTTTGCCCAAGCTCTACCTGCGGGCACCAGCCCAAGGTGCACAGACCTGCTGCCAAGACCAAGTGCAGGGCTGTAGGGGGACCCCCAAATAATGGGTCGCACAGTTGGCTGAAGTGGGTGCCCAAGGCTCAGGTAGAATAGATCCACGAAATGACACAATGTACAGACACAAAACCCCCACCACAGAGTCACTCACGCACTGGGAAGTCACACACATCTGGAGGCCAAAGCACAGGGACGCAGAACTCCATGGGCCACGCGGGCGCTGCAGACACGGAGGGCACTCTCCGCGGGGATGGGGTCAGCCCGCGCCTCCCACAAAAGTTAGACGCCCACGGAGCACGGGCTCCCACGGAGCCCGTATGCCCGGAGCGCAGACGCAGCCGTGAAGGGCCCCGCGGGCCGAGCACAATGGCGTTAGGGGCAGGTGCCCCAGGGGACTGGGGACCAGCAGTTCCGCGGTCCGTGGCGCCACCTGGTGGACACGTGCACCGCTGCGGCATAGCGCACAACCGCTAAGGGCTTTCCTGGCTGTCCGACCGCTCTCTCCTGGATTGTCTGCAACTTAACTGGTCACGTTTTCAAAAATAATTGACATGGCCATTTGCTGCCAGCCAGGTTCATTCAATTCCAGCCAAAAATAAAGGAAGTTTGACATTTTCAGATTTACGGAAGATGCCGATTCTATTGGGTTTTCAAAAACTCTCACAATAGCTAGAGGACCTCCACTACTGCTTCTGAGGAACCTCATGAACACAGAAATTCCTATTAACCACAAAGATGTGATTTGTCCACCCCTGACCTTCTCAGAATATTTCAACAAGGAGGGGGTAAAATGCTATCTCTAGAAATCACAAGAACAGTCTGTCATTCAGTTGGCTTTGTGCTCAGGAAGTAAACTCTTTAACCTTCTAAAATGGGAACCAGTCCTATGTGGAAACTCAGAAAACCAAGTTTTTTCTTCCTTGAATTTAACATCTAAAAAACAAAAAAATCCTAAAATATTTGAGATCTATCTCCTTTATAGACAACTTTCATAATAATTTTTTCCTGAGTCTAGGAAAACAAAGACTTCCTGAAAATATTTCTAGAAACTACTAGGATACAGAAGCCAAATGGTTCAGTAGATGGGAACCCCAGAGACTGAGTCAAGTCCTGACTTTGCCACCACGCTACAAGTCACATCTACCAGGACCTTCCCTTTTTATTCACAAAAGAGATAATGACAACCACATGCTGCCTATGAAGGTGTAAAGACATGTTAGCTAAAAAAAAAGTTTTAAAAAGCCATTTTTTATAGTGCATGTCATTCAGAAGATAGGGATAAAATTACATTTGGTACAAAAGATGGTTCTGCGGAGGAACAGTAGGAAATGGGATCAAATAAGATTAGACCAGTTAAAGGTAGGCATAGGGCTTCAAGAAGAGAAGGCAGGTTGGACACAAATGATGCTCTCAACAAAAGACTTGCCCTCAACCAAGTCTCGGTATCAATAAATCAGGAATAACTTTTTTCATGTAAGATTTAGTTATAAAAATACAAAGGAAATCCTTGCTGTAGTGCTGAACTCCTGTCAAGATTCTAACAAAAACTGGAAATCAACTGGGAGTGGCTAGAAATCACAACATATATAACAGCCATAAAGCTGGCACTCACTCCCAACGTGAAGTTAGTTTTCAGACACGCTGGCCTGAGTTTGTTCCTTTCCACCCAAGAGACAAAGCTAACTCTTGGCCCCCACCTCCCCCAGCTGCACCCAGAGAACCAGGCCTTGGCGCCAGAGAAGACAGGCAGCAAACAATATGCAAGCTCAGTCTGCCGTCTGTCATGTCACATATACAGCAACTGTGCCTTACATTAAATCTTAAGCAGCATCCTCAGAAAATAATATGTACCTGGTAACACAGATAGGTATAAGATATTTGGTTACATTTCCTTGGTAAGACAAGAAAAGAAATTCCTAAAATAAAACTGTTGGGCACATCAAGAGATCAAGCCCTTAAAAAGTGATGCTCAAGTGAAGAGAGAAACTGTAAGCATCATGGTTTTCTTACACAGAGGCAGTCACACCTGAGAAGGCAGAGGAACAATGAGTATGAGGGAGGCACAGGTGTGGGGAAGTCGGGGGGCACGTGGCCCACCCCACCTGTTCCCTGCAGAGCCTCTGCAGGTGAGCAGCCTAAGCCTGGGGGCTTGCTAGGGCGCCTGCTCTGGGCGAGGGGGCAGGGGACCCACAGCCAGGCCACACTGAGGCAAGCACTATCTTCCCAACTGTCTATTCTACTTGGAGATTTAGGGCAGGGTAAGGAGATACTTAGCCAGTAAAATCATTTATTTTTCGAATTAAAACAGATACAGAAGCTAACAAAAGAGCTGCCTAAAGATAAAAGATATTTTTTTTAACTCACACCCTGATCTCTTCACATGATGCCTGGAGACTGGGCATGTCTCGGCCTCCTCCCGTCCAGACATAGCAGGGGTTGGACAGCTATGGGGTAGAATGGACACACAACCTGCTCAGGGAGGCGAGGCCACGCCACTACCTAGCTGGAAATATGAGGCTCGCTTTCTTGTCAGGTCAGTTACGATGCTCAGGTCACAATCTTCAGGTAGGCCTCACTTGTCTGGAACCAATCTCTTCCTGAAACAGGCAATCAGAGGAAGCACATGGATGGCCTCGCCTCAGCTACCATGAAAAGGGGGTTCTGATTAGAGTTGTCAGATGACTCACTTCTGATAAAATCACTGCCAGCAGTCTCCCCTCTGGCTCACACTCACTCTAGCCGGTGACGCTGTGATCCCTCCCTACACATTCTAACAGACATTTCTGCCTACCTGCAAGAAATCCTTCTCGTGGCCCATTTTCTGTTCTTATTTTTGCATGCTAGCAAACATCACTTGTAACTGCTCTCCATCCACACCATCTTTTCCTCCTGGCCAAAAGCTTATATATGAAGAACACAGCCATCCCTCCACTGCAGACCTCTGAATGCTGTGAATGACTGTCAGCTATCCTACAGGTAGACAGACTCATGTTTGTATCCCCCCTTCAATAATTACTAGCCTTGTGACTTGGACTTGACCCCTCAAAACTCCGATTTCCCTGCCTATAAAAGCAGATAACCACTACCTTTTCAAAAGGGCTGCATGGACGACTGGATGAGACAGTGAGCATAAAGCTTATACTGTGCGGTTCATACAGCCCTCCATATATATGCCTTACTGCCTAGATAGAAAACTAAATAAACACCCTCATCTTTATTAGCTACACTCTCCTAAAATAAAGTTCCAAAAATAGGTGTAAATAGGCAATAAATATTAAATGGCTGGATCTGAGAACACAGAACTTCCCAGGCACTCTGAACTGCCATATGTAACTGCAAGACATTCCCTTGGAAACAGGAATTCATGATGCAAATATTTATTCCTTGAGTGGAACAGCCTGATCTCTAGGGATGGGTAATGCTGTGTCCTCTTTCTCAGCATCATTAAAGGACGTTTTATCTACAATTGTTTTATTAGAAATTGCTGGAAAATGGCCTGACTGCTTTAGCTAGACATTCAAGGTTTCTGCCACTGGATCTACCTTTGCTCTCATTTTTGTCTCCTTCCTTACATGATGCTCTAACCCAGCTGGCTAAGGAACTTACTGTTTCTAAGCACACATCTTCCTTTTCCTATCCGTTCCCCTTGCTTTTCTTTGCCTCCCATGTCTGTTTTCATTAACCAAATCTCTCAAGTTGTGCATAGATGTGTATGCGTACGTACAAAATTTTTGGCATGACTAAACTCTTAAAATGGCAAGCTCTGAGATAATTTTTCCAATTTAATTTACTAAGGGATCATGTTTTGCTTTCATGCTAATAGGTATACTAAAGACTTTTAAATTTGGTTTTCCACCTGAAATCTAGTTTGATCTGAAAAATAATGCCAAATCTAACAAAAGCTGTATTATTATAGAGAAATGGGTAGTGAGCACACAAATATATAAAAGCAAATGTCAGTTCA